CCTCATGTTGTGGTGACCCCCAACCATAAAATTATTTTCATTGCTACTCTATAACTGTAATTTTGCTACTGTTATGAATCGTAAATATCTTTTTGTTTCCCAATGGTCTTAGGCGACCCCTGTGAAAGGGTCGTTCGACCCCCAAAGGGGTCGTGACCCACAGGTTGAGAACCGCTGTTTTAGAGGGACATTTCATTGTAGATTTCAATTTGGGGGTGAAGGAAACACAGCTTTATTGCCACTCAACAGAGGAGCTCAGCGGGGTACCCACAGTATGGGTTGGTACAGAATACTAGGAAGAGGGGGAGAGGGCTGTAGTCAGAAGAGCAGGGAAGAGCAGATGGGGCTGGAGGCCCTGTGGCTGCAGAAAGCAGCAGGAGTGTGCACTTCAGGCAAAGGTGGCCATGGCCATTTAGATGCATATGTTTGTAAACTGGGTGCTCATGAGGAGAACTAATAATAAACAGGGAACGATGCTTCCTGCATCTCTCTAATCATTAGGAAAACTTAACTCCTGGGATTTTTTTATTCGCAACAAAACACCCCAAAAGTCCCAGGAGTTTCTTTAGATATTTTAATGTTTTGGTCATTTTATAAAGAGAAATGCAAATGAAATATAGGATTTACATTCTGTATTCCTCTGTGGTATTACTTACACTGGAGTGCACATGTAAGCTTCACGGGGTCTGTGAATTCCCTAAAACGGCAGGCCAAACTCTGCAGTATGCAGAGCTTTCAGCAGTCAGACTCTCAAGAGGGTATCTAACCAACCTCTCATTTCCTATCCCCCACCCCTCAAAAAAAGAACAGCTTATGCATAGGGGAGCAGAAATACAGAGTAAATCTGTAAGCTTCAGGAATAAACGGTCCAGACCACACAGAGCTCCACGGGCATAGTCAGAAAAACTGGGGGAAATGGGCTTTGTCACAGTAGCTTATTGAGCACGTTCTCTAAAATGGCCGCTGTACCTTCTTTTTCTTGATCCAAGTATTTCTTTATGTTTTCTGCTCTATCCATGTAGCCCGAAATTTTTTTTCTGAGATTGCATTTCTTTGCATCATCTTTGGTGCCTACAAATTTAAAAATATATTCCTAGGTTTCAGAACATTTTTTCTATTTAGTACAGACATTATTTCCAGCTTCCCAAGTTTTCCACACATTTCCTCTCTCTTAGTATGGTTTGCTTCAGTCCTAAACTACACAATAAGAGCCTCAAATTTGGCCAGATCGGGAAGGACTTTCATTGGTGCGCTAAGCATCTAAAGCTGCTTTATTCAGGAGTGGGGACTCTGATACCATGTGTCACTGCTGGGGACACCAAATCCAGTGAAGTGACAAAGGTAGCTTATTACATGTCAATAGAGTCTGAGCACTATTTTGTCCTAATCACCCACAAGTTTGAAATCTTAGCATAATTAAAAGTTAGCAAATAATATCTTTTACCCACAAAATCAGCTTCTCTTCCAGACTTCCCCACTATAGTTTATGCTGTCGTTTCCCCAGGCACTCCAAAAATAGAAGGTAGTTTGCAATATACATTATCAATAAACTCCCACCCTAAGCCCTACCCCCTAAACCCAATCAGTCACCAAGTCACTTCTGGTTCCTTCCTTCCTTTTGATATTGCTTGTATGTTCCATAATAATTTCATTTTTAAACTCTCAGTTTTTTTAAACATTTTATTTTGAATTAATTTTATATTGATGGAAAAGTTGCGAAGTGGTACAGAATCCCTTCACCCAGATTCCCTTGATATTAACATAACACATAACCACAGTACAATTATCAGAGTTAGAAAATTAACATTGATATAACACTATTAACTCATCTGCAAACCTCATTTGTATTTCCCCAGTTTTCCCCCTAAAGAAAGTTCGTTTTTTGGACCAGGATCCCCCATAGCATTTAGTTCTTATGGCTTCTCCTTAGTCTCCTCCAATTTGTAATGGTTCCTTAGTCTCACTCTGCCTTTTATCACCTTGACATTTGGGAAGAGTAGTGGTCAGTTATTTTGCAGAATGTATGTCTCTCATTTGGGGCTGTTGATGCTTTCTCATGATTACACTGAGGTTATACTTTTTTGCAAGAAAATCACAGAAGTGTTGTGCCTTTCCCAGGGGATACATCATGTCGACGTGTCTTATTACTGCTGATGTTAACTCTGATCACTTGGTTCAGGTGTTCACACATTTCTCCACTATAAAGTCACTATTTTTTCCTTTGTCTATTCTTAAGTATCTTGTGGGAAGATACCCTGTTTCTCCTTACTCTCTCACCCACAAGTTTTAGCATCCATCAATGGTCCCTGCCTGCAAGTTACTACTAGAGTTTGCAAAGTGGTGATTTTCTATTGTTTTCATTCCTATTTATTAATTGGAATTCTACTGCAAGGAAGAGCTGTTTCTTTTCCCCCATCTATTTATTTCTTCAATTATTCATTTTTTATCAATATGGGATCGTGGGTATTTATTTTAGTCTATGGGTTGTGATCCAATACTATCATTTTCTTTCTCAAATTATTACCTTTGGCTTTGCGAACTCCTTGTTGGCTCCTCTGTCCTTTTGACATGCCCCATCATTTTTTGAGCACTTCCTTACTTTTTGGTGCAAAATGTTTTACACTCATCTTGTGTTTTCCCTGCTCCAGCCCTGGAATCAACCATTCTTTGAAGGTGCTCTGGTTCTTTATATTGAAGAGTGGTATCAAAAAATCAAATTCTGGGTGCTAAGCGTGCTCACTGCTACTAGGGAAGTCCTATCACTACTTCTAGACCTGTTCAGTCAACACAGCTAGAAAATATATGTAGGTTTAGGAATCCACATATACATCTCTACAGGCAGACCTCGGAGATACTGTGGGTTCAGTTCCAGACCATTGCAATAAAGAGATTATTGCAATAAAGTGAGTCGCATGCATTTTTTTGGTTTCCCAGTGCATAGAAAACGTATGCTTACACTATACTGTAGTTTATTAAGTGTGCAAAAGCATTATGTCTAAAAAAATGTACATACCTTAATTTTAAAAAATACCTTATTGCTAAAAAATGCTAACCATCATCTGAGCCTTCAGGGAGTCATAATCTTTTTGCTGGTAGAGGGTCTTGTAAAAAAACGCAGTATCTGCAAAGTTCAATAAAGCAAAATGAGGTGTGCCTGTATTCACTTGTGTCTATTCACCTGTATATGTATTAAAAACCACCAATTCATGCTGATAACTTTGATCCCACAGGGCTCATTCTAGCCTTCCTCCTTTCCTTATTTGTAACTTCTTTTATTATCCACATTATATTTACTGGCTTGTTCAAATCTAGTTTAAACATAAAGTGGTTTCAGAATTCCTAACCCATACGCCTATGAGAAAAATATTTACCAACTAAAATACAATGTTTGTATACTTTGATTTTGTCTTTAACCTTATGGAATACAGTCAAAATACTATTTTCCAAAGATGCTTAGGTTACCTAGTTCCATCCCTCCTTCCTTATGTATTATAATGGAATAACTCAGAAAAGAGTCACTCTCTCCTCATCTTACTACTCCATTCCCATTTCCTCCTTCTTTCTACCTCTTTCCCCACCCACCCCACAAACCTCATTAGTTTCTGGTTTTATCCTTCTTTTGAACAAATGAGTAGACATGTGAATATCTTCTTATACCGTCGGTTTTACACGAAGGATAGCATACTACAGATATTCTTTGTCCTGTGTAGATTTCACTTAACAATGTATCCTGGAAATCACTCCATACCGCTTTATAAAGATCTTCCTCATTCCTTTTTACAGCAGTGTAGTATTCCATTGTGTGGACCCACCATAGTTTATTCAACCACTCTCCTACCCAGGGGCATTTAGGTTGTTTCCAACATTTTATTGACATTAATATAATTACTGAAATCTTTCCCTTTCAAGTCCTTTTACTGCCCAAATTAGTATCATTTCGATCCCTACTTTCTCATGCCTATACTACTGTCGCACAAGAAAATCCTAATATAGCCATATATAATCTATAAATCTCTTGTGAGGAATCCTGTTTTTCCTCCTAAGGTAACATGAGAATTCATACACTTCCACTGCATGGTCCTCTAAACTCAGAAACTTTTTACTGTCCCGTCTTTTTGTCAAAATGAAGCATTTTATGGTCTCTTTACAGAGGTAGTATGAATAGTGGTTAACAGCAAAGTGTCTGGAGTCAGACTGTTTTAGTTCAAAACTTGCTGTGCCACTTTTGCCGATGTGACCTTGGCCAGTTATTCAACCTCTCTGTCTCCTCACCTGTGACATGGAGAGAGTACTAATAGTACCTTAGGGAGTTGTGGAGATGATTAATTACAAAAGAAACTGGCATGTAGGAAACACTCAGTGAACGCTGTCAATATCATTAATTCTAGGTAATTTTTTCCATACACCTCACTCTGGGCTTCCTTTAGAACCATACTTTATCTAACATTTCCTTTCTTAAATTCCACTGTTACTTCGCTATTCCCTATGAATATTTCCCCATCCTCTATAAATGTAGTAGTCCTTTTTTAATCATCATCATGATCAGCTGGCAGAGTTTGACACTGTAGACTCATTCTTCAAACATCATGCCTCGGTTTTCCAGCCATCTTTGATTCCCATTGGAATCTCACTCCCTCACATGGTCATATGACCATGCCACTAATTCAATATCCACACTGTCCCCTCCTCTTCCTAATATTGGCAACACCTTCCTGATTCATTCAGGCCCCTTATCACCTCTCAACTTGATTCCTGGTCTGCTTGACTTCAGTCTCTTCAGGTTAATGTCTCTCCTACACTCTTGCCATATTCACCGATTATCCAAGAAATATTTATTGAGAACTTACTACATGCCAGGCACTGGGGACACAGCAGTTAATAAAACAGATGTAGTTCTCCCCTATCCTTCAAGTGACAGGAAAGACAACAATAAAAATAAATTGGTAAAACGTGTACGTTAGACTGTAATAAGTGCTACTAAAGAAAATAAAGCAAGAAGGATGACAGCGTCCTGGGGTGGGGTTGTAATGTTACCCTGTAGATCAGGGGAGGCCTCAAAAAGGTGGTATTTGTATAAAGACTAGAATAGGAGAGGGAGCATACCACCCAAATGTTTGGGAGAAGAGCATAATCCTAAAAGAGACAAGCCCCGAGATGCAACTTTAATCACATCACTCCTTTGTAAAAACTTTAAATGTTTTCTCCTTGACTACAGAATGAGTTAAAACATCCTAGCAGTCAAGGCCATCCATAGCATGCTCTCAGATCTAATCTACCTTTAACCTTTACTTCTCACTCTTTCAGCATATAGACATATGCTGAACCAAAGCGAACTACTTATTTGGTAAAATAGCACAGACAGAATGTGAACACTTCTAATTTCTGAAATTCAACTTATTCCTCCAAAGTCCCTATATCGAAAGCCACCTCCCCCTTTCCACCCCTAAATGACTTTTAACTGTAAATCCTCACTGCGTTTGTCTGTAGCTCCCTGCTGGCACTTATTCCCTGTGTTAGAATTATTATTGGCATTTGTGTCTTCACCTGTAAGATCTCGTCACTGTCTCTGTAACCAACCTCTCCAGGATCAGTGGAGCATACTGCAGCCAAACTCCTGTGATTCTCCTGCTTCAAATTCCAAGAGTGCCAGGTCTTGAGCGGTGCCCCACCTGACCAACACTGCATACCATCTCTCTTTCGAGGAATCATTATACTAGTCATTATACTTTAAAGCCCTGGCTTCCAATTGTGACTCTACCAATTGTGGGGGAACTGAAAAGCAAACTTTACTTTTTTATGCTGTAAAGTGAGGAAAACAATCACCTATTTCACAGGGCAATTGTAAGGATGAAACAAGATCATGGTTTTAATGTGCGCTGCACAGTGCCTGGTGCTCAGCACTTATAAATGGTGTTACTTTGTTGTTGCCGTCATCACCATCATCACCATCACCATCATCATCAAATGGGCCTTGCTCAAGGTAGTGTTACAGTTGAGGGAAGCTCCGAACACTGAAGGGCGCCTGTACTGTCTTAAAGTTTCTATAACACTTACATTATAAACAGGCTAAAAGGCAGACAAAGGGGGATCTTAGGCCAGACTGAGATCTCCAGAGTAACGGGAACACAGGCTGGTCTTAATCAATTTAAAACATAATTACAGGGTTTCTACTATGCACCTGGCATTGTGCTGGTGTTAATGGTTATTTGGGGAGTTCTCAACACTGAATGATTACTAACAAAGTCTCACTGCCCCCGCCCACAATACTATGCATTTTTCACACCAAATATCAGTACCTCCATTTCTTATGAAAATAAGTTTTTCTTCTACCGCTATGAGATTCTGTTTTACTTTTAATTAAAATATTTAAACAGGTAAGATTAATAGTGTAATGAACAAACACGCTTATTACCCAGCATCTAGATTTAAAAATTGTTAGCATTTTGCCACATTTGCTTCAACATTTCTTTCTTAAATCAAATTAAAATCAGACATCATGACAATTCTTCCCAAAATTTTGCATCTCTAAAAATTAAGGATGTTTTAAAAAAAAACCATACTGCCTAACAAATCTAATAATTTTAATGTTACATCCATATTCAAACTTTCCAAAGTGATCTAAAACTGTCCTTTACAGTTCGTTCAAACCCATAAGTCCTATCAAGGTTTATGTGTTACATTTGGTTACGTCTTTTACAAATCTAGAGCAGTAACCGCCTTTTCTTGATGACGTCAACCTATGAAAGGCATAAACGAAACCAGTCCACTTGTCCTGTAGAATACGCCACTTTTTGTATTTGCTTCCTCGTGGTGCAGAAGAATCATTAACTCCCACACTCCGTCCCAGACACAACAAGATCTAGCTCCTTATCCTCCAATCCTCCCTCCACGGCTCATTGCTCACCTTTTAGAACCTGCAAGAGCAGGTCAATGCCCTCCTGGTAACATATCAAAGCCTGCTGGTACCGAGACTCGGAATCTAGCTGCACCGCCCGCTTTAGCACAGTGACTGCAGCTGCGCTCTCAAGATCGAGCCCCAGCCCGGATTTTGCCATGATTCTGGAAACTCCTCTCCTCAAACCCAGCTAGAGTTGGGTGGGTCTGCTGTGCTTCCGGGAAATGATCACGTGACACCAAATGCACCGGCGCTCTCATTTTATGGCGCTTCAGTGGGAGGGACTTGGCCGGAACTAAAGTGTCGCGTTTTGCGTGCCCCGGGACGACAGGGTTTGAATGTAGCGCTTGGTGTTCTTTCCTCTGCTTGGCTTCCTGTCCGCGGGTAAGTTCAGGCTTAACAATATTTAACAGTCGCTGGTCAGTGGGGAATGCGTGGTCGAAAGTATTGCATTTTTGCATGGAGTCCATATCTGGGAACCCTATGTAGATGTGGATTGATTTTCCCTATTCCGTTTCTGAGTTTGCGGTGACAGTATCCTCGATGGGCCTCCGTCCCGTTGCTGTCCCTTTGCCTCCCGAAAAGTCATTGGCCGACGTGACCCTTTTTCCCAGTTGGAGGGATTCCGGGACGCGCGGGTTGTTGAGCCTCGATTCTCGAAGCGCAAAAGCCGAGCCTCCTAGGCTGGACAGCCTGGAAAAGGGAATTCGAGTTTTGTTTTAGTGTTTCTGTGCATCTGCTTGTTTCATAACTCCGGCTTCCCTTTGGGGATCGGCGTTAACTTAATTTGTTAATGAAGATGCGAAATTGCGTAATTTTTAAATTGCTGCATTTTAGAAGGCAAACCTCCTGGAGTTAGCAGGTAAAATATTTGCCATTTTACGAAAAGCTGTGATTTTGCAGTCGTGTTTTGGTCGCTGCCTACCCAAAGCTGCTCGTTCTGCGTATTTTGCCAAAAGGCACTTAGGAGAGCTGCCTACTTGTTAGGCATTAGGAGTTCAAAGAAGAGACATTTCTTGCCTTCAGAGATCTCGGTTTATCAAAAGGGGAATTTTATTATTTGTATTTTCAGTAATGTCCCCCTCCCCTTTAGCAGTAAATAGATGTCTCTTTAGGAAAGGAAGTAGTTTTTTTTTTTTTAAAAAGAACAATTACATGCATGGTCATTGTAAAACAACAAAATATCAGACATGGGGGTGGGGGGGATGAGGGGGTGGGGGGGTGAAGAGGAAAAATCGCCCTGGTAACCTGCCCCCCCAGGGATATGTTAATATTTTTCTGATATCCTTCCAGAGGTTTTCTGTGTATACACACACATTCACAGACATTTTTTTTTTATGGAAAGGGGATCGAACTTCTCATGTGATGCATATATTTTCCTATTTTTGCATCTGTGCAAGAGAAAATTTATTGTAAGTAGAAGATAGTATAATTGCGTCAAGGTCCAAGAGTTAGTGTCTAATTATTAAGACTAACCTTTGCTTTATTCAAACTTATAACTTTTGACAGTCACACCCTCTGAAGTCTGTAAATTAAACTTCATCATTGAGCAGATTGAGTGCCTACTATGTGGCAGATGCTGCTTGGGATACATCAGTGAATAAATAGCCCGAAAAACAAAACAAAATTTAAAAATCCTTGTCCAAACATGCTGTTGGGTGGAGACAGACAATAAACAACAAACCTAATTAATTTATGTTAGATGATAAGTGCTATTGGAAGAAAATTAATTAGAATAAGAGGGCTTGGAAGTGCTGACAATTATGTTGTGGGTCAAAATGCTAAATAATGGAATCAGGGTAGACCTCACTGAGCAGATGAGATTTGAGCCCCACATTGAAGGAAGTAAGGGAATTAGCCATGTGAATATCTGGAGCATTTCAAGAGCGGGATCACCCAGTCCAAGGGAGCATGCCTACCTGGCAAGTTCCAGAACCAGCAAGGGGGACAGTATATGTAGGAATTGAGCAAGACAGTAATTGGAGATGAAGCTCTAGAGGTGGGGGCTAAGAACTGGCTATTACTCTGATTGACATGGAGGCATTGGAGGTGTTTCATTTTTAAATAAACTTTAGAATAGTTTTAGATTTACAGAAAAGTTGTGAAGATATCACAGAATTCCTATAATACCGCACACCCAGTTTCCCCTTTTATTATAGTAATGTTTTACATTAGTATGATGCATTTGTGATCATTAATGAACAATTATTGATACACTATTAACTAAAGTTCATACTTCAGACTTTCGTAGTTTTTACCTAATGTCCTTTTACTGTTCCAGAATCCCACCCAAGATCCTACATTACTACATTTAGTCACCATGTCTCCTTAGAGTCCTTTTAACTATGACAATTTCCCAAACTTTCCTGCTTTTGATGACCTTGACAATTTTAAGGCAGTCAGGTATTTGAGGAGCTACTGGCCGGGTGTGTTGCACAATGTCCCTCAATTGTTGTTTGTTCGATGTTTTTCTCTTAGGAAGACCCCAGAGAAGTGCCATTTTCATTCCATCATACCAAGGGTACATGCTATCAACTTGACTTTTATCACAATTGATGTTAACCTTGGTCACCTGGCTGACTAGTGCTTGTCAGGTCTGTCTAGGGTAGTGTTATTAACCCCCCTTTCTATAGTGTCCTCTGAGGGGAGCAAGTCACTATGCATAGCCCACACTTCCCGGGTAAGTGGTTTGCTCCACTCTTTGTGGGGAGAGTAGCTACATAAACTATTTGGAATTCTTCTGTCAGTGTGATTTGTTTCTTCTCTCGCATTAATTTAATTTATTCACTCATTTATATCAGTATGGACTCATGGTTATTTTATGGTTTGGATTACAACTAGTATTTTGTTACTTATTTTGTTGCTCATACTAGTCTAGCTTTAGCCATTGGGAGCTCTTTCATTTGGCACATATGCCCCTTTGGCATACCCCCATCAGTTTGATTTTTCGAGTGTTCCTTTCTAGCATTCCAATATGCTCCACACTCATCTTGATATATCCCCTCCTGCAGCCCTATAATCAGATATTTCTCTGAGGAGCCCCGGTTCCTTTTATTAGAGAGTTCCATTACAAACTGAGATGAAATTGCTTAGGTGCTCTCAGCTAACAGAGCTAACCCATGTATATCTATATCTAATTATTTCTACAATATATCTGTTAGTATCTATACTGAGCTAAACATGAGTTCCAACTCTATTTGTGTATCGTTGGATCACATGGATCATTCTACCCGTCCTCTTGCTTATGTGTAACCTCCAATAGTGAGAAACCTGGCTCTTTGGAAGATTTTGAGCAGAGGAGTTGACGTGATCTGATTTAGGGTTTAATTGGATGATTGCTTCTATGGAGAAAAGACCTTAGGGAATTTGGAATGGAAGCAGGAAGGCCAATCATGAGGCTTTTGTTGAGTTTTAAGTGGTAAGAGAAAGATTTAGCAAAGTATGAAGCTAAATGTGTTGGGTTAGTATATAATGTTTAACTTGGGAGGCAGAAGTATGATAGGGAAATAATTTAGCATTATCTATTTGATTGGAGGGCCAGAAGAGCAAGCGTCTCTTCTAAGTGAGCCTCGATACAAGCATATAAAACCCAGTCAGGCAGTGGGTGATGTGAACTAGAAATTGTTATTCTATGTTATAATGCTTGAGGTCTGATGTCTGAATGACAGTTAGGAAATTCTGATGGACTTCTAAATTCTGAGTTGAGCCAGAACAGAGATCTAACCCGTTTATTCATATATTGATCAACAAACACTGGGCGCCTACTGTTCATCAGATTGTGTGCTACATGCTGAGAGTGATCAAGACACAATTCTTGCTTTCAGGCCACTAAGGATGTAGTAGTTATTATAACTCTCCTGAAACTGATCCATAATTAATTTTGAGAGACTGGTCCAGTTGATGAGAAATTTTCTGAAGCCTGGCTCTTTTCATGGGACATCTTGCATTAATTTCCACAACTCCATTGCTGTATCCACGTCGCAGAGCTTGAGTGAGCCTGAATCTGGTGGACACTGAAATACAGCATTTACCATGATTTGGTGTGTTAGGGTGTTTTTATTATAGCTTTGTAATAATTAAATAATTTTATACATAATAGTAAAAGCTACCATTTATTGGGGGCTTCCTGTGTGCCAAGTACTGTTTTCGGTGTTTTTAGAATAGCTCAGTTGCAAAATAGGTATTATTTTGTTTCTGTTTTTGGAGAAAAAATTGAAACACACAAATTAAGTAACCTATCCAAAATATACATGGAGTTAGTTCATGTACCTAATCTTTCTGCTTTCAGTGTGTCAGTATAGTATTATAGACTATAATTGTTTTGTGTCTAAATAAGCATGATTTTTTAGGTCATAGAAACAATGCATGTTTGTTAAGAATAGTTTAAAAATACAAATAGGCAAAAAAGCGTTCTGGCTTTACTTTTTAACAGAAAGGTGTTATGATTCAGTGACAATGCACTGGACTAGGAGTTAATGGATTGGGTTCCAGACCCTATACACCCTGCATAGCTGAGTGTCTTTGGGTAAATGATTGAACTTTCTGGGATTCATTTTCCTTCTCCATAAAGTAAGACGGTTGTCAGTTCTAATTATAGGAGTGGGGATTTCTTCAGTCCCTTTAGCTCTTTAATTTTTTGTGATTCTACAACAAAGCATTTTTTATCTGCTCTCATTGTTGAAGATTTTTTTTAAATGATAGTAATCCCCATTGCCCATTTTTTGTTGAATCAGCTGAAGCTCTAACTAATTTGGTGAAAATGGATATGGTTAATGTATTGTTGCTACCTATGGTTTTGCTGAACTCTGAATAAAACATTTACTATAACATGATTCTTGCCTTTATTATATTAAGATAACCAAGATTGTACTCTTAAATTTCCATCAAGTTTACCATTAACTTGTTTACTTTTTTAATACCACAGAGAGGGGACCTGTCCATTTCTAAGACATATTTGGCCCGCAGATCTTATTTCCTACCCACAGTCTCCACAGAGAACAGTTACCACTCTCATGGCGGGGATTTTACGCTCAGTAGTTCAGAGGCCCCCAGCCAGACTACAAGTAAGTGTTTCTTTTCAAGAGTTGTCTTTTTTTTAAATTTTTTTAAAACTTTTTCTCTTTTCTAATTAACAAAATGTTATGAGCAAGCTAAACTTAACTTTTTCATATATATTAATTTTTTTTTAATACTGAGGGTTAATTTTGTTTATTTATGGTTTATCTGCTGTTTTATCCCTCAAGAGTTAGAATCACAAAAGATCTTTTCCTGGAGAACCTGCTGCTAAAAAATGGCCAGCCTTTTTTATTAAATGATTCCCCTAGGCCTGCCTTAATCTTTATTTAAAGTTTTAGGTTTTTTTCCCTTCGATTATGAAAAGAGTACATTTTCAATTTTAGAAAATTAGAAAAATATAGAATAGCAGAAAGAAGTCTCCCAGAGACCATTAATGCCTGCATTTTCATATATTTTCTTCCAGTCTTCCATTAGAAACTGCAGTGGTGGAGAGCCAGAGTAAGATACAGGCCTGCTGCTAGCTATAGATTACAGTAATGTCAGGTGCTTTTTTTTTTTTTTTAAGATTTTATTGGGGAATTGGGGGATGGGAACACACAAGTTGCTGTCCTTGGTTTTTTCAGTCTAGTTGTGGAGGATGTCGCTTCACTGGCCCATGTTGGTATTATCATTGCACTCTTCCCAGCTGAGGCAGATTGGTCGCCGGCCACTCATGGCAGCTCTTGGCAGCTCACCCTGGCTGCAGGTCGCTCACACTGGCTCCCAGCCACTCACTGTACCTTCACTACAACCCAATGCCGCCCCATTGCAGCCTACGCCATGGCTGGCAACTCATGGCAGCCCAGCTCCAGGTTGAGCTGTTGTTCGACATCTTAGCTGTAGAGGGCACAGTGTCACTGGCCCTCATATGTGGGATCTGAACTGGGGCCCTGCTGCTCAGAGCCGGCATCCCAAGCCAGCCCTTAACCAACGTGCCACTCGGCCGGCCCTGTCAGGTGCTTTACATGCATACTTTAACCTCAGAGTAATCCTGTGTGGTCAGTATTATGTCCTTTTTTAGGGGAGGAAACTGACTCTCTCAGAGAGTGAGTGTCTCATTTCTCACAGCTGGTAGGCACAGAACCAGGATTAGAAGTCCAGTGTTCATGAGTGTCAAAACATTTGGTTTTCCTTTGCCTTCCCCACCCCTACTGCTTCTTCTCTAGTTTTTTTTGCCATCGGGGTCATGAAGGGAACAATTATGGCCCATCCAGACAGGAGTTTCCTGGTATAAAGGATTGGCAGTGAATCCTTTTTCGTCAGCTGACTGAGAGAAACAGGACTGGAGGTTTGTAGGAAGGGAACAAAAGATAGGAACTAGGAGTGATGGCGTTGTTGGGACTAGAAAGAAAGCTAGAAACTCATTTTGGCTTGCTTTCACATTGTATTGTTGAAGGTGAATTATTGCACATAGTCTAGAGCAGGGTTTGGCAAACTACGGCCTGTAGGCCAAATTCAGCCTACCACCTATTTTTGTAAATAAAGTTTTATTGGAACACAGAGCCATGTCCATTTGTTTACATATTGTCTAGGCTGCTTGCACCCTGCAGTGGCAGAGTTGAGACTTGGCAATGGAAACGGTATAGCCCCAAGCTGGAAACATTTACTGTCTGGTTCTTTACAGAAAAATATTGCCATGCCCTGGTCTGGTAGTTCATAATTATGTATTTTTTGTATTTTAATATGTTAGTGGTAAGATGAGATGTATTCATTCATGTATGGATGGGGCTGAGATAAATGTTTGATAATTACAGGTTAAGAAAAACAGACTTTTGTCACCTAAAAAATGGATGGTTATGGGTTCTACACTAGACAGAGTTCTAAAATAAAACAAAAACAAATGTTTTATATCATATTTTAGACAGTGACAAAAGGTGTGGAGTCTCTTGTTTGTACAGATTGGATTCGTCACAAATTTACCAAGTCAAGAATTCCAGATAAAGTAAGTACAAGGGTTTTGGGGGTTTTTATTTTAGTTACTATTTTTCTAAAACGTTATTTTTATACTGTTAAAACTTTTATGTTAAATCATTTGTGGGTATAGGTAGTAGTATAGCATATAGAACATAGGATTTATGTCAATGCTTATTAAAAATAAAAATGTGCCACTTGCCTTTGAAGTAGTGGATTTTAGTCATCTCAGAATCTTTATTCCTGTGTATGGTTACTGTTTTGTGTTTTCATATCATCGTTGTCCTGAGGATACAGTCCTCTCCCCACTGCTCCCAGGCTCTTGGCTCCCTTTCTGTGTGGACTGTTGATTGCCACTTTGGGTCTTTTGAATTTTCTCTGCTAGATCTATGAGTACATGTCATTCTTTCAGAAAACACTAGCTAAGCCCTCAGTTGATTTTTGGTTTTTTTGTGCTTTTTTTTTAATGAATAAACTTTATTTCCTAGAGCAATTTTAGGTTTATTGAAAAATTGAACAGAAAGTACAAAGAGTTCAGATACTCCCTCCCCCCACTTACACAGTTACCCTATTAACATCTTGCATTGGTAAAAATTTATTAGAACTGATGAATCAATATTGGCACATTATTATTAACTAAAGTCCATAGTGTACATCAGGACTCTTGGTGTTGTACACTCTATGGGTTTTGACAAATACATAATGCCTTGAATCCACCATTGAAGTATCATACAGAATAGTGTCGCTACCCTAAAAATTCTCTGTGCTCCACCTCTTCATTGCTCTCTCTCATCCTCCAACGCCTGGCACCATTGATCTTTTCACTGCCTCTATAGTTTTACCTTTTTCCAGAATGTCATGTAGTTGGCATCACCTAGTATGTAGCCCTTTCAGACTGGCTTCATTCACTTAACAATAAGAAATTAAGGTTCCTTGATGTCTTCATAGCTCATTTCTTTTTCTTTTCTTCTTTTTTTTTCCAGTTAAATGTATGTTTAATCAAAAGAATGATAAGTCGTTAGCTAGAAATTAGCTAGAAAATCTCTGGCTAGAACTCAGGAAAAACATGAATTTGAAAAGACCAAGTTGTTTTCCACTTAAGTGGCTGGAGACTCAGAAATCAAACAAGGTTCCGGAAATAATAAAAGCTGCATTTTTATAACCTGAGTGTTGTGGCTGTGCCTCTCATTTCCTTTTATTGCCTAATAATATTCCATTATCCAGTAGTACCATGGTTGTTTACCCGCTCACCTACTGAAGGGCATCTTGGTTGCCTCCAGTTTTTGGCAATAGTGAATAGAGCTGCTATAAACACTCGTGTGCAGGTCTCTGTGTAGATTAAGTTTTCAACTCACTTGAGGTAAATACCTAGGAATGCAATTGCTGGAATGTACAGTACAGACTATGTTTAGTTTTGTAAAGTCTGTTTTTTTTCCTCCAATTTCTTGTATTGTGGTAAAATACATATAACAAAATTTACTCTCTTACCCATTTTTAAGTGTACAGTTCAGTGGTATTATATTCACATTATTGTGCCACCATCCCCACCATCCATCTGCAGACCTCTTCATCTTGCAGAACTGATGCTCTGGTCCCATTAAGCAGTAACTCCCCATTCTCCCTGCCCTCCAGCCCCCGGCATCCACCATTCTCCATTGATGTTTTTAAAAGATAAAATAGTATTATACTATTGACTGTTTTGATACCTTTAATATGCTTGATGTTCTTTTATCAGAAACTCCTTTTGTTTTTCAAGTTATGGTCTTTCTGCTGCTGTCTTTTACACAACTGTATTGTCGCATATCTTTCCATGTTTCTTAGTCTGTTACCTTCTGGGAGAAAAGGATAAATACAAACGTTAGCATTTGTTTAAAATGTGCAAGGAAGTGATTTTGATCACCAGTTGTAGTACATGTGAAAGCTTTTCAACTTTGTAAAAATAACTCTGAGATGTGTTGCTCCAGCCCCTGCCCATCTCCAAACTTATTCCTAGATTCTCAAATGGTTTCTAGACCTTGCTGTATGGATAACTCAGGGGTAATCAAGTTAAAATGTCCAAAATTAAAACTCATCATGTCACTTGCCCTCCAATCAACCAAACAAAAAGGGGTGCTCGTCCTATGTTAATTACATCAGCTGATGCTGCCATTGCAGACCAGAGACCTCTGAGTCAGTCTCAACCCCTCCTCCTCCTTCATCCTCTACACACCTATCAATTTTGCTGCCCAGAGTCTCCAAATCAGTCCCTTTTCTTCAACCACGGCTATAAGTGTTTCCTAACTGGGTTTCCTTGTACCAGTCACCCACCTCCAGTTTATTTTATTTTCTTGTAAAAGTTTACTTTCTGAATCTCTTTTTGAAAGATGACCATGTTGCTTCAAACTTTCAATAGCTTTGTATCCCTCCCGGAAACTTCTAAAGGCTCAGCACAGTTGAGCATAGTTTAACTTCATCCTCTGCATTGCTTTTCATGCTTTTTCTACGTTAGCCACACTGAACCACTTGGTTGTCCCAAATATCTCATACTATTCACACTGTTTCTCTGTATTTTCTCACCTTTTCTTTGGTGCACCTGCACCCTCGTCTTCAACAATTCTACTCATCCTACATCTCTTCAAAATCCCTAGAAAAATACAAGCAAGTGAAAAGAACCCAAACCACCTCTAATCCCACCCACTTGGTAACAGCTACTGTCAACACCTTCCACATCCTTTTCTGCTGTATGTTTTTAAAGATGTGAATTGTCTCACATATAATGCATCTCTCTTTATTTAGCCATATGATGTGACCCTCTCAGTGGATAGGTTTCTACAATATCACTTTTTTTATTTTTTTATTTTTTGGGGGAACAGCCATGGTCATTGGTTACACATTGCTTTCATACTACAATGGCATATTTGACTCTTTTAGGGAGGTTGCAGCTCACAGTGGCCCATGCGGGGTTTGAACCGGCAACCTTGGTGTTATCAGCACCATGCTCTAACCAACTGAGCTAACCAGTCACCCCCTATAATATCACTTTTAGTAATAATTGAGTGGTATTCTTTTGATAAAAGTACCATCTTTTTTTTCCTTTTTTTTTTTTTGGTCCTTCCTCAGTATGATTCCCCAGAGATATGACTCTTTTTTTTTTTTTTAAGATTTTATTGGGGGGTTGGGGGAGGGGAACAGCATTGGGAAATCGGGGAAAGGGAACAGACAAGTTGCTGCCCTTTTGTTTTTCAATCTAGTTGTGGAGGACGTTGCTTCACTGGCCGATGCTGGTATTATCACTACGCTCCTCCCGGCTGAGGCAGTTGATCGCCAGCCATTGAATGGTGGCTCACAGCAGCTCACGCTGGCTGCCGGCCACTCAACGGTAGCTCACAGCAGCCCACTGTAGCAGGGGCTGCAGTATACGCCGTTGCCAGCAACTAACGGCAGCCCAGCTCCAGGTCTTGCTGCTGTTCACTATCTTAGCTGTAGAGGGCACAGTGTCACTGGCCCTCATGTGGGATCCGAACCGGGGCCCTACTGCTCAGAGCCGGTGTCCCAAGCCAACTGTTTTTTTTTTGTTTTTTTGTGTTTTTTTGGCTGAGCCATCCTGCCACCTGTTGGCAGCTCAGCGGCTGCTCAGCTCAGGCCGGGACTTGAACCGCTGTAACTCAGAGCTCAAACTCTTGAGCGAGCTCTTAACCAACTGAGCCACTCAGTAGGCCCTCCAAGCCAACTCTTAACCAACGTGCCACTCAGCCGGCCCAGAGATATGACTCTTGATACCATGTCTTTGAGACCTTTATACACATGATATGTATCTGATTCTTAGAATCAATGTTTATAGAATATATCATATTATATACACTTATGTATTTAGTATAGATGAAGCAAATACAAGATCCTACTACACATAGTAGTATGGAAATTTGGGTTGGTTTTTTTTCTTTTTTTTTCTTTTAAGAATGTATTACAGGGCCGGCCGAGTGGTGCCAGCTCTGTGCAGCAGGGCCCCAGTTCGGATCCCACATGAGGGCCAGTGACACTGCCCTCTACAGCTAAGATGGTGAACAACAGCTCGACCTGGAGCTGGGCTGCTGTTAGTCACCAGTGATGGCGTAGGCTGTAGCCCCTGCTACAGTGGGCTGCCATGAGCTACCGTGAGCCGCCGGCAGCCAGCATGAGCTGCCAATAGCTGCTGTGAGCAGCCGTCCAGAGGCCAACGACCAATCTGCCTCAGCCGGGAAGAGCGCAATGATAATATCAACATGGGCCAGTGAAGCGATGTCCTCCACAACTAGACTGAAGAACAAAAAGACAGCAATTTGTCTGTTCCCTTTCCCCGATTCCCCAGCGCTGTTCCTCTCCCACAATTCCCCAATAAAAATCTTAAAAAGAAAACATTAAAAAAAAATGTATTACAGCCATCCTAATGCTAGTACTTGCAAAGATAGTAAACCTGATTTGTTTTAATGGCAATACTGTATCCAATAGGATACATTATAATTTATTTAGTTATATCATATTTTTCAGTTTTATTAGTTTTACGTAAAATGTATGCCTCATAATTTTTTTAGCTTCTTGAGGACCATGGATATGGCCTTTAAGTTTTTGAGTATTACAAATAGTGTTACAAAGTATATTTTTACTCAGTACGTTTTATGTACTTATGGAAATTTTTCTGTGGGATAGTATCCTAGAACCTTTTGATTCTTAGAGAATCAGTTCACATGTCAGCTTTGTGGAACTGTTTCTGATCCCTCCTAGGCAGAGTCATTTGTCTGTTTTCTCATGGTACTTTGTACATAATTTTTTTTATAATACTCAAGTTTTATTGTCGTTTTAGACTTAGATGTTTGTTCCCACATTTTAATGGGAACGGGGTGCAGCCCAGTGCCCAGCTCATATGTGCTAATGCATTTGCCGGGCATCTGAACTAGTGTCATCCAGTGCTCCTGCCTGACCCTTCGAAACAAAACAAAATGCTTGCCTGTGTGATGTTTTTCATAGAGTTAATCTACCTGAGTAATCAGACTGGTAGAAATGTTCGATTTGAGGTTGAGGATTATAGAAAGATTAGTAAGTAGATCATTATGTAGTTGTTTGTGTGTGTGTGTGGGGGGGGGCAGTTAAGGAAAAAAAGGAGGTACATAGAAACTAAGTTAAAAATGATCATTTATGATTCTTCCTTTCTAGGTGTTTCAGCCTTCACCTGCAGATCATGAAAAATATGGTGGGGATCCAGAGCACCCTCATAAACTACATATTGTTACCAGGATAAAAAGTACAAAAAGACGTCCATATTGGGAAAAAGATGTAATAAAGATGCTCGGATTAGAAAAAGTATGCAACTATTTTAGTCATCTTTAGTGTTGTTTAAATTTGGCACTGTTAAAACTTTAAGATAAATATTTAATTTTTTGTTGTTGTTGAGATGTATTATTTAGTAGTGTGTATTTGGAAGTTTGATTTAGACACTGAGCCTTCACCTGAACATTCTACTGAAATATGGAACCATGTGTACTTTTGAAATTGACCTCCATCATGGTTTCTCTTTGTAGGCACATACTCCTCAAGTTCACAAGAACATCCCTTCAGTGAATGCAAAACTGAAAGTGGTTAAACATTTGATAAGGTTGGTCGTTTGTTACTTCAACAGTTTTTAAAAATGTGTTGCCTAGTGTAATTCTAAAAGCATTTTCTTGTATCACAGGATCAAGCCGCTGAGGTTGCCACAAGGACTTCCTGCGGAGGAGGACATGGCTCACACATGCTTGAAGAGCACTGGGGAGCTAGTAGTACGGTGGCGGCTAAGTCCCGTGGACCAGGACACCACTAGTCCTCATGCAGTTTCAGACTAACACGCGCAAACCCTTTTTATTTAAACATGGCAAGAAAGTGTTCTCATTAAAATATATTTTAGATGCCAATCATTTTCACTGACTATACACGGTGTGATTCTTTCTTCCCATAGGCTTGGAGGTTGTGGTGCCACATGGATGACTGGCATCGTTTGAACATTTAGGTCCTGGTGTCACCTTAGCAATCACACAGCTTGATAAAATTTTCAAGTGTCCAAGTGACTGTCTAAAGCATCTGTCACCCTTTTTGTGTGTATATATACATATGTCAAAATCTTTTTTCTGCATCTAAACTTCTTTTCTCTTAATTTAAGACCTTAGATAATTAAGTTAATTAATATAGAATCCTTGGAAGTCTGGACAGTTTAATAAGAAACAGATATAAAATAGTCACGAAATGAACTTTTTACCCTTGTTAGAAGGGCAATAAATTAACAAATGATGAAAATGCCTTTGAATAATATTGTTTATGATTCTTTCTACCTCAGAATCATTAAGATAATATGAAATAAGTGCTCATGAAGAAAATAATTTTCTGTTCTCTAACTTTGTTGTCTGCAAAAAAAATCACTTTGGTTAAAGATAATTTAAACAGTTCATTATACAAGGTACAGTAATTATAAATAAATACAAATATGTATATAGCATAGTGGGTATAATTTTCTTTTTATAATGCTTATTCAGATGGTAATTTAACATATGTACATTTTTATTTAATACATTGGTAAATTAGTCCTATTTTAAAGCTATAGATAGAAACTTTAATTTATTAAATATATATGCACATGCCTAAATACATACACATAAACATATATTGTTGCTTCTATCTGTGCATGAATAATGTAAAACAAAAGTAAAAATAGAGAGCCGGCCAAGTTGCGCATTGGTTAAGAGCTGGCTTGGGACACCAGCTCTGAGCAGCAGGGCCCCGGTTCGGATCCCACATGAGGGTCAGTGACACTGCCCTCTACAGCTAAGATGGTGAATAATAGCTCGACCTGGAGCTGGGCTGCCGTGTGTCGCCAGCGATGGCGTAGGCTGCAGCCCCTGCTGCAGTGGGCTGCCATAAGCTACTGTGAGTGGCTGGCAGCCACCGCGAGCAGCCAGCAGCCAATATGAGCAGCCAAGAGCCCCTGTGAGTGGCTGTCCAGAGGCCGGTGACAGATCTGCTTCATCCGGGAAGAGCACAATGATAATATCAACATGGGCCAGTGAAGCAACGTCCTCCACAACTAGACTGAAGAACAAAACAACAGCAACTTGTCTGTTCCCCTCCCCCAATTCCTCAATTAAAAAAAAATCTTAAAAAAAAAAAGGAAAAATAGAATTTGGGTAAGCAAAGATATTTTCGCCCAGAGATTTCTTTTTTTACCAAATTATTTCCCATAAAACTTTAAGCTGAGAGAGGTACCATTCTGGCCTCAGTCTGCCCTTCCCACCCATCCATCCATGTAACTACAGTTGAGGTTGATAAGCGTCTTGGAAGAAGAAACTCAGTTTGGGGAGACAACCTGGTGACAAAATGCAGTGATCCAGGGTAGTTCTCACTGCCACTCACTTATGGACAGGAAAGGTAAAAGCTTTACGGTAATCCCCTCTGATATTTGTTAGGGTTTGTAGAGGCCCCTCTAAGTGAGAAAGAAAAAAGACAGACTTTTCAGCCACAGCAGACAAAACTTGGCAGATTGGGACTGTACTGGAAGCCAACAGAAGCCAGCCACAGATGACCACAAGTCAAACAATGGCAGAAAGTGAGTGAGAGTGGGAGCTGCATGCCAAGACACCCCGGCCCTGGAATAGCAGTGCCCCACCCAGAAGCCAAGTACAAAGGGGAGGGAGGCCCTGAAGGAAGGATCTCAGGAGCAGCTTCTCAAAGCTGAATTTACACTCTAGGAAGAGGATGTTGGAGATGGATATAGGAGTTCCTTCAAGGAGGCCCCCACTCACCCCAAATCAGGAGATGTTCTGAGAGCCCCTCAACTCGAAATCTTCCAGAAGCTACATGGGGCTCTGAGTAGTCTAGGGACTCCAGTGGCCAAGGAATGTGTCCACCATGAAGGATGCTGGCCGACCAAGATCCAGGACAGCCATGTCAAAGAGCAGCTTGCTGGTGAGTTAAAGCTCCAACTGGAGCTAGGGCTGCTCCCTAGGGTCTGGGGGCTCCTTGGGAGCTGGCAATACTAAAACTCAGCCCTCCCCCTCCCCCCAAATTTTCCTTTGGAGAAGGAAATTTTCCAAAGTGATAATTATATTTCAGAAGACAAGATCCTTTCTAGTTCTCTGTCCATTCAGTGATCCTTAACCCACAGCCGGAGTCAGGGAAGATGTGGAGAATTTTGTGATTATTTCTCCTTTGGGGGATATCATTCAAAATTGTGTTAGTGTTGCATGCTCCATGAGGCAAGCATACACTTTCAGCTCTTCCCAGCTGTCTTAGATTGGGTTTCCCACAAGTAGGTTCTGAGATGAAAAATTTCTGAAAGTAATTTATTTAAGTATTCCCGGTGGGCGTGGTGGGAAGTTACAGGAGTTTAAACCGTTTTGTTTTTTTTTAAAGATTTTACTGGGGAAGGGGAACAGCCAAGTTGTTGTCCTTCAGTCTTAGTTGTGGAGGGCGCAGCTAGCTCAGCTCCAAGTCCAGTTGCCATCTGACCGCCCGTCGGCAGCTCGAGGCCGCTCAGCTCAAGGTGCTGTGTTCAATTTTAGTTGCAGGTGGGCGTAACCCACCATCCCATGCGGGAGTTGAACCAGCAACCTTGCTGTTAAGAGCATGTACTCTCACCAGCTGAGCCATCCTGCTACCTGTTGGCAGCTCAGCGGCAGCTCAGCTTGGGTGCAGCTCACTGGCCCATGTGGGAATCATACCGGAGACACTGTTGCTCAGAGCTCGTGCTCTTAACCAACTGAACCACTCAGCCGGCCCTAAACCATTTTTTAGGTGGCCTTAATTTCAGTTGCATTAAATACATTCACATTGTTGTGCAACAATCACCACCACCCACATCCAGAATGTTTTCATCTCCCCAGACCCATTTAAGCAATAACTCTGTACTCATTAAGCAATAACTACATTTCCCCTTAACCCTTGGCAATCATCATTATGTTTTCTATTTCTACAAATTTGACTACTTCAGATAACTTGTATACTTGTAAATGGAATCATACAACACTTGCCGTTTTGTGCCTTATTTATTTCACTTAGCATAGTGTCTTCAAGGTTCTTCCATGTTATAGCATGTGCCAGAGTTTTGTACTTGTTAAGGCTGAATAATATTCCATTGTATGTATAGACCACATTTTCTTATCCATTCATCTGTTGATGGACATGTAGGTTATTTCCACCTTTGGGCTATTGTACATAATGCTGCTCTAAATGAGGTTTACAAATACCTGTTCGAGCCCCTTCATTCAATTCTTTTGGGCATGTACCCAGTAGTGGAATTGCTCGATCATATGGTAATTATATCTTTAATTTATTTTTTTTAAAGATTTTTATTGGGGGAATTAGGGGATGGGAACACTGCTGGGGAATTGGGGGAAGGGGAACAGACAAGTTGCTGTCGTTTTGTTCTTCAGTCTAGTTGTGGAGGATGTCGCTTCACTGGCCCAAG